TTGCTGCTTGTAAAACAACGGATTAAATGTTTACTTTTTTTGCTTTTGGTTTTGTTAGTTCTTTTTGTCTCTGTTTTTCTCATACCGCTACTGCTTGCTCCAAAATTTCAATCATTAGACAATTTTCTTGGGTCGCTCAGATTTTTAAATTTTGGTGAAATTCCGGAGTAGATTTTAGAGAGAAGGATTTAATTCTCCCAGTCCTTTTTTTCGCAGTCATATATATTTATTTTACCGCTTGCTTTCTGGATTTATTGCGGTGAAAACTGCGGGTTTTATTGGATATGTAGGACTTTTGCTGGATATTATTGGTGCAATTTTAAGCACTAGATTTTTAACCGCTTTCGGTAAGATAGATAAGATGTAGGCTTGGCAAAATAATAAATCCATAAACAGAAAGCGGTATGTTTTATCAAAAAGGAGTAAGCGTTAGAGTTTCAGAATTATGGAGATAAGTCCCGATTTAGCAGTAGGCTTAATGACAAGTATAAATGATTATCAGTAATAAACCAATTTAGGATTATCCGTGATTGATAAACAGATTAGCATTGTTCTCTTTTTGGATAAGGGAGTTTATCTCCCGTTTCAGAGTTTTTTATTTATCTGTTTTTAGATAGATTACCGAGATAGAAAGTTGAAAAGAAGATTGCGTGATTGCTTGGTAAATTGCGTAATCTTTGATAGAAACTGATAGAACTTTTTAGAAAGATAGAAAAAAAGAAATCTTTCGGTTAGTTTTTTTATAAATAAAGTGGTTTTTTTCTTTTCTTGTTCCTCACCTTTTTGGTCATAAAAAATTAAGTTTTAATAAGTTTTTAAGTCTCCCTCCTCCCTTACCAAATAAAGTGAGTTTGTCTTACCGCTTTCTTTTTATTATAACCTATGTTTCTTTATTTTTGTTATTTTTACTAAGGATTTTTATCTTTTTTTAGTTTATTTCTTTTTTTTATTTTTTTCTTTACGAATTAACGATAACCATGGGTTTTTGGGACAGTTCTTTCGGCGAAGCTCTTAAATTTGGGATTAAATGGGGTGTTTCAACAGTCGCAGCAGGAACACTCGTAGCAGCAACAGGCGGTCTAGGAGCAATTGCTATTGGAGGTGCTGTCGCAGGCGAAGGCTACTTAATCAAAAAAGCCGCCCAAGAATGTGATAACGAATTTTTTGAGTTCGTTGGAGATACTATCCTAAGCACTGGTATCGGCACAGCAACAGGCGGTCTTGTAGGAACCGAAAGTAGCAGTTTAGCCTCCAAAGGCAGCGAAAAGGCTTTAAGAACTGGAATTGCCACCGCCGGCACCAACGGCTCTAAAATTTTAATTAATTCATGGGTTTATACAAAAATGGCACAATATGGCTATGACATAGCAGGAAAAAGCAAGAGTGGCTTCGAAGCGTTTCTCAGTTTCCTTCATGGCAAACATAAAGAAGAAGGAACCAGTTATGAATCTCAATGCCCTATTTGTAATGGAAAGTTCTCTAAATACCCACCATACTAAAATGAAAAGTAAGAATTTTTTTAGAAAGTTTTGATTTATTTTTTTTGCCTTTTTACTTTTGAGTGGTCTTATAATGTCTGTTCTTTGCGAGAACAAAAGACTTTATCCTATAATTTCTTTATTAATTTCCTCATCTTTTCTTTTTTTTCTTTACCTCTTAATTAGAAAATTCGAAAAAAATCCAAAAATAAGTCGCCAATTTTTATCTCGCCTCTGAGTGGGATTTTTTATTTTCCTTTTTTTATTTTTTGTTTCTGTTGTCTGTTTTTTTATAAATCTTTTTAAATAGTTGAATTATTTTTTTTCTTTTTCTAATTCGGCTGGGCTTTAGGAAAAAGTTTTTTTAGTTGCTTTTTTTATCAACTATTTTTTCTTTTTATTTTTAGTTAGGTTTAGACTTAACTTTCTTTTTTTTGCTTTTTATGTATTTTCTTTAAGTTTTTTTGTTGCAACAATTATGGGTTTTATGAACAAATAAAGTCTTTTTTAAAATTATAAATATAAGTTGTTTTTACTTCGCCATGAAAAAAAATGTTAATAATTTAGAGGATTTTTATAAAGAATTTAAAAAACGCCTAACCACAAATGCTTTAGTTCAGTAAATTTTGAAGATTTTGTTAAAGAATTTAAGTTTGGAGAAAGCATAGAAAAAGAACAAGTTCATTGAACGGATAAAAACGGAAAAGAACATTGAAAAAAATTAGACCCATGAATTAGAGTAGATTTACGAGGAAAGGAAGAAAATTGTTTGATTTTGAGGCTTCCTTATTGAGAATATACCTCGGAGTATCGCCCTCATTATGAAATTTATGAGAAATTAAAAAAAATGTATTCTGATTATTCAGAAAAACCATCTTTTTCTCCAACCAACTCTTCTAATAAAAAAATAGTTTGGTGGGTAGGTGGAGGAGTTATTTTTATACTTACTGCTCTATTTCTTTTTTACTTATTTAGAAAAAGAAAGAAAGCCAAAAACGGACGATATAGGCGTTAGTCGTGATTACTTAGAAAAATTACGTGAGTGATTGTGAGTTTTCATGGAAACTTCGAGAATGTTTTCGAACTTTTATGTCTATCATTTTTTATTATAAAAAGAGTGGATTTTGGTCTGTCTTGTCCTTTGCCGTTTTAAGGTCATAAAAATAAGATTTTTTAAGATTTTTCAAAGTAGGTTTACCGCTTTATCTTATGTAATTCTTACCACTTTTCTTTACTAAAATTCTTTTTTTCTTTATTAGTTTAAACCGTCTTATTCCCTTTTTTACGAATTTACGAATAAAAATAAAGTGAGTTCAGTGCTTTCCCTTTGCTACGCCCGTGCTTGAACTTTGTCGTTTTTTACTAAATAAAGTCTTTTTTATTTTTTAGTTTATCGGTTTCCTTCTACGACTTAACGATAACCGTGGGCTGGGATGACGTTTTTAAAACCATTGGTTCGGTGGCTCTGGCTGCTAGTTATTTTACTCCAATCGGTCCTGTAACTGGGGCAATTACTGCTGGTGCTCTGGCTTATGGAGGGACAGTAGAAATTATCGGTCATGCTACCGATGACGAGGACATCAAGAAAGTCGGAAGGTTTGTTTGGACTATGGCTAAGGATGCTGCTATCGACGGCATTGCTGGTGGTGCCCTCTAAGGGGTGAAAATTCACAAAGGGGTGGCTGAATTAGCTAAAGTTGGATGCGAAGCTTGGAGCAAAGCCGAAGCAGAAACTTACAGAGCTGCCGGCAAACCCTATATTCCCACTCCTGACCCCAAAGACACGATTTTCTTTGCAAAAAATGCTAAATTTTTCGCCAAAGGTCTTTTGCCTTAAAGGTAGTAAAATTATTACATGGGATTTTCTTTTGATAAATTATATCGCCAAAAAAAAGATATTGCTGATTTGATTTTTTTGCTTTTTCTTGGCATAATTATTCTTTTAATTCTTTACTTTTCTTTCATACGAAAAAAATATCAAAAAGGTCGTCTTTCGTGGAAGAGATGAATACTTTTTTTATTTTCCTCCATTTTCTTTTTTCTTTTTATACTTTTATTAGTTTTTTTCATATGTTTTCTCATCAAAAATTTCCTTAAATAGTTGAATTATTTTTTAAGCCTTGCGGCAAAATATTTTTTTCTCCTGGTAGCCAGGTTTTTTTAGTTCTTTTTTACAATTATTTTTTATATCTTTTTTGTTTCTTATCTATGTATTTTGTAAGTTTTTTGTCGCGACAGCATGTTTTTTAAATAAAGTTTTTTCTTAAGAAGTTATAATATAAATTGGGGTAGGAAAAGGTGAAATTTTTTTGCTTGCTTGGTAAAAATACTATAATATGACGCAAAAGCATTATTGTCAAAAGTGTAAAAATCTCATTGAGGAAGGCAAGGAAATTAAAGTTAAGGAAGGCAGCAATTATCGTGGTTATCGTTATTCCTATGGGCCGAGAAATTGGTTTATCTATTATCTTTGCCCGCAGTGCTTTCAGCAGCAAAAAGAGGAAATTCGGACTCAAAGAGATAAAAATTGACAACAAATTAGCACGATTTTAATAATCTTTTTAATAATTATAGCAGTATTAGCAGTTTTATTTCTTCTCTATCAATATCGTCAGGATCGAAAAATTGACCGAATAACCAAAAAGGCGCAAAAAAAATAGAATAGCAGAATTAAGTCAGCAAAAACATCATGGAAATTAAATAAAACGGAAAATTAAAGTTTCGCTAATTAGAAAACGAGTTTATGCTAGCCAGTTAAAAACACTTAATATGGATTGAAAAGGTATTTTTCGAGAAAATTGACTGTTAATTGTTGTATTAATAATATTATTTTTTTTACTTCTCATTTTTTTTATAAGTTGAGAAAAAGAAATTGAGAAAAAGAAGCGACCAAAAGGCTTCTTAATCTGTCCCATTCGTGGTCCTCTACGAGTCCGAAAATATGAT